GGCAGTTTGTGTACAGCATTGCTGTTTTTCTTTCTTCTGTCAAAAAAGATTATGCAAATATTCCTGTAGCTAGGTCCATTAGAGTTGTAGAATAGTTTTCTTTCGGCCCCTACATAGTAACCAGATGCGCTACAAAAAGAAAAATATTACATGCAAATACGAGTGCAGCTGCCCTCGTATCAGCAACCTTTAAACTAAAATCAATGGAGCCACATAACATTCTCACATTTATGCAGCTGCTGGTTGCTTAGATACCACTAAGCTGCGAGTGATTTTCACGTTAAAATAGTCGGTGAAATTTTATGTCTTGCTATTCTCTGTAGATTACTCTTTCAAGTCTATTAACACTCAGCTCTACTGGCATTTCATACTGCCAACTTGTACATGCACTTTTAATCTCATTCAAATAATATTGAAGTTGCGTGAGAAAGGTACTGCTAGAGGGTGAGACTGTTCACATTTTATGACTGATATTGGATATGCTGTTTAATTGCAAGCTAAGAACATTGCCATTTTGCAGGAACTACAAGTGTAAGCACGTTGTGGCAATGTTGCTACATATCAACGCCAAGAGGAACTTCAACGTACTGGCGTCCACAGACTTGCCACAAAAGTGGGGGAAGGGGCAGAAGAGAGCGGTCGGGGAGAAGTATGCTCCGAGGAAGATCGTCAACCTCCCAGGTCTTGAAAAAGTGAGCTATGAAACTTCTATTCATGCACAGCGCTTTTAGTAGACCTTGTGCATACCATAAAGCTCCCTCCGCCAGCGCCAAATGAAATCACGGGAAAGGGCTGTACAAGACCCGCATATAAACGCTTCTTCTGCTCTGACCTGTGCTAACGGAACTTGACCAACAGTGTGTCATGGCATAGGTACGCGGAGAGCACACAGGATGCTCCTTTATTTTCTTGTGTGCCTTACGTGACCTTGTGGGATTCTCACTAACGATGTAGTGCATATGTTGCGTCAGCCTGAGTTAACAAATCAAATGAAGACAGTGATGTGTATGCTGGGCCAGTTGTGCGAAACTGTGCCAAGGGGCTAACCCTGCTACTTCCTGCTACATTTGCCAAAATATGGGTAGTCTGCACCAAGCCTGTGCCAAAGTACCAGTTTCGGTCGCCTTTCAAAAACGAAAATAAACTGAGAACCGTAATCGAGCATGCGTGACTTAGGTGGCGCAAGAAACCGCCCAACAGTAAGTACCCCGCATCAATCATTCGTCCGATCACCCCCACCCCTTGCATGGCTTTTCCCGCCGTCTCAGGTTTTGCGCTCTCATGTCATCTCGGGGCTCTTGTCCGGTGGTCTCGTCTCGCGCCTTTTTCAATTTTTTTCAACGATACACACGGGCGTGTGCGGATGCTCTGACGTTAGTGTGCCGGCCATGTCGTCATGCTGTGGAACAAAACCAATTTTTTTTTTTTGCGCGGCAAGAGTTGCTTTGTGAGCTGAAGCACTAGCACAACCACAGTCACCGTGGTCGTGCAATGTAACGGGTTGCCGTCCCCACGTCGCTACAAATATGGCGCTTTCTAAACTGAAACGTAGTTACTGCTGCGTGTTCATCAACATTCGTGCTCTCGTTTAAATCATATGGCACTACCAAAATCCCCCTTTTCAAAAACTGCTTGTCGAAGTAGTGATTACATAGGTTTCTCTCGGTGGGCTTTCTTTTTCGAGAGGGACCCCGATACGTAAAAAATCTGCCGCGAAAGAGAGTTAGTGACGAGAAGTGAGCAAAGGAGGCAATGTCTGCAAGCTGAACCCGCAGAGTGTGCTTGTTTGCCACGAGTTCAGTCGTTGGAAAAAGCGCTCCAAAAACTTTTTGACCCTGGCTCGCGATGCCATACATCGATGCACTCGGGTTCTTTTTTTCTGGGTGTTTAGCTTGTACCTCGCCTGCCGGCCTGGCAAGCGCACACCGCTGGACTGTTTTTTTTTGTTTTTTTTTGTCGTATGCTAGGCAGTTGCATTTTGCAAACAATTTTGGGATCCAGTAGGCGACAGAGCGGAGTGACATGATTTCGGTTTCGTCCGAACAGCCAATGTCTCCGCTTGAACAACGAAGCACGCGCAACTGCAAACCTGCCAATGTTGCCCTTACATGCATGCGAACATGGTTGCATGAAAGAGGCACTAGCCGGGACGCTTGCAATCCATTGTTTTACGTTTGCTTAATTTTGGCGAAATTTTGGTTTATATTTTCAGGTTGAAGGGCATCCGGTGCTGCTTCCTAAAGGCGATATCCTGGGACGACTACTGGAGGGACTGACTTATAGGTCAGCTGCCCTGCGGCACACCGAAGAAGTCCGTCCTCTTGGTTGGTTCATGAACTGCATTTCCTCTTTCTCTTTCCCATTGTCTTTGCTACAGTTGGTTTTGGCTGTTTGTTGGTCATTCTTAAGAGACTTTATGAATCGATTCTCTCAGTATCCGACGAACATCAGTGGTGGCATGCCTCACACGGGATAGAAGCTGTGCTCAGTACAGACCATGCATTATGTTTGGATCACAGCAAAAAAAAAAAACCAAGATAAATGTACACTCCTGTGTATATTTATCTGTGTAGAATTTTTGTGTACATTGAAACCCTAGATAAATGTACACCACTAAGATCGGTGGCTGTGATAAATTGACACAGCTCTGAGCAGTACGCTCAACGGATGGGGACTCCAACCTTAATATGTTTACATTCTGAATTGTGCATGCCTGACTCACAAAAGTTACAGAGCTGATAATAAAAAGTACAGGTACTAGGTTGTGAAGGCATGGCGATTGCGCCATATATATATTAGATTTGAGTGGAAGCACTAATATCCAATATGTCGTAACAGTTGACTGCAAAGGAGAGAAAAAAATGTCAAGCGAACCAGAAAAGCAACCAGAAATGTTCCTTAGTACAATATGTTTAAAGTGGCTGAGGCTTAAGTCTAGTTGAGCAATGTGCACTCTCATCCTGCCATAGGCAGATTTCTACAAAAAAACAGATTGCCAGGTGCAGGTGACTTTCCTGGCCCACAACTCTAAACTGAAAGTGCGCCTGGAGCACCATCACCAATTAAGTTTGCCACTACATGCTTAATTGGTGTACAAGGTCTGTTTAAGAAGTATCCTACCTGAATTAGTACCGTGGAAACAAATGAAGCGTGAATAGCTTTATCTGGTGGGGAGGCAGAGAAAACGTTAATGCGCATGCAAGAATTTTATCAGGCCCGCAAAAAATGTGAGTCGCAGGCAGTTAGCCTCGGAGTGATGACGTGTAGTTAGTGCTCGTCGTTTATGTTTTTTTTGTTTGTTTTTTTGCAACATGACAAAATAGTTTGAGTGAGAGGTATTGCATCAAATTTTGATTCAAGCTTGCTCACACTCAAGTGGAAACAATTCGAAATATTCAGCAGGAGTTCGAGGACGATGCCATGGGCATTAAAAAAACATTAAGGTTTGGTACAACCAGATCAAAGATGACTGCATGTCAGTGGAGAGAGACGCACTTTCAGGAAGGCCTTCAACAATCCGAAATAATCTGGTGATTAACCAACTTCGTGCAATCGTGCCGAAGTTTCTCACGATGGAGCTGCATCATGACAATGCACCAGCTCATTCCTTGCGTCCGAGTTTTTTTGGCCAAAACAGGCTTCCTACTGTCTCAACATGGCTCCATGTGATTTCTGGCTCTTCCCTACGATGAAAATGCCGCTGAAAGGAACCCTATTCGAGTTACGGAAAAAAACGACGAGCAGCGACTACAATTCCTCACTCGGAGGCTGACTGAAAACAACTCACATTTTCATCGGGCCTGATAAAATTCACACATACACATTAATGTTCCCTCCACTTCTCTAACCAGAAGATGCTGTCTGCACTTTATTTGTTTATGCAGAACAAATTTAGGTCTGATACTTTTTTAATGGCCCTCGTATGCTCGCACATTAGTACGAGGCTTATTCAACGTATTCACTATGGCAGCAATGGGACTGGTCATAATTAGTCCTCTTGTGTTTTGTACATAAAACTGTTCCCTAGCATTTCATTTTTGCATTTCAACAACCAATTTCTTTCCTATCACCTTTATAGTGTGTAACGTGTCAATATTCTCTGTATATTTGCATGTTTGCAGAGATATCAACCGCCCCCACCGCAGCTGAGGAGCCCCCTGTCCCTGGACTGCCCACACTTACGCGGCTGATTGCCACAACTGCTGCTCCCAGCTTCGATGCTTTTGTGGAGGAGATAAGGGCCACCTTCTCTGCAGACGTCTGTGCGGTAATCGAAGAGAGGACGAGGGAACAGTCGCTATCTGAGGACTGGTTGCGCCAGAGGATAGGCATGGCAACAAGTACAGTCTGCCATTCCTTCAAAACAAGGGCAGCGAAGTGCGAGATAGAGAAAATGCCGCACAACATGGGGCCTTTGTTGAAGGCGGTCCTCCGCACGAGCACATACCAGTCTGCAGCAATGCAGCGCGGGCTGAGCATGGAAGGCACTGCGCGGGAGAAGTATGTCTCGGTTGTGAAGTCGAGGGGCCACACATGCACTGTGGAAGACAGGGGCCTATTGATTTGGAACGAGTTTCCTGTGATGGGCTGTAGCGTGGATGGGCTCGTTACTTTCACCTGCGCATGCTGCAAGGGTGAAAAGCGTATTTTAGAAATCAAGTGCCTCAACACGGTGAAGAAAGCTTTCTCAAAGGACAAGCCGACGCCCCTGTTCTACACACAGGTTCAGGTCCAGATGGGGATAACAAATATTCCAGTGTGTGACTTTTTCGTCTACAAGAGTCCAGAGGACTGGAGGGCACTTACCATGCCATTTGATGCTGCACATTTCCTTAAATGTTCGGCTGCAGTGCACACCCTGTACGACAAGTACATTTTTGACACGCTGAAGAATCTGGCATGTTCATACTCGTGGTAGTGGGCCCCAAAAAGGGCCAGTGTGGTAACATTAGATATGCATTTGAAGCCAGCAAATAAACAAAAGGATGGCAACAAGCAAGTGCTAATACATTCATTTATTACAGTATGCATGACATCAAATTTGCAAAATTAAATTGGCATAGAAACTTATCTTACAAGGCTGTTGAATGGCTTGTGTGTCTAAATGCACGAGCTAGAAATATTGACTCATTTCTGTGCTTTGACAACCTTTCTCCAATGTGGCACAGGGGAAGAGTACCTTGAACGAAATTAACAAGGAAATTTTTGGCGAGTGACAGTCTGTGACCGAATATTACTTTTTTCTTCCTACCCTGCTAAAGAGAACTCATTCTTCACAAATGACAGTGGGATGCCATGTTTGAACTGCCCATTAAGTGATCTACAGATTAACGGCAACGTTTAAACAGGCAGCTAAAAGAAAACGCTATCGTGTCCTGTTCAGCAATGTATTAACCAGTTAAAAATTTGTCGTTGCTGAACAAGGGCTTTGAGAGGTTCACGAGACCTGCAATGATGACGACAACATCATCGATTTGCGGAAGGAGGTCTGCGCTGAAATTGTCCCGTAGAATTCGAAACAACTTCATTCGCTGAATTGCACGCTCGACATGAACGCGTGCAGCTGCGATGCTTTGGTTGTTTGCGGCGTCAGATTTGCTCAGCTGTGTGTTTTTACGGAGAAATGGTGGACGAACTAACTTTACCTTGTGTTCGCAACACAGCTCGTCAATTAAGAACCCTTTGTCGACCATTACGCTGTCGATGAAGGGGAGGCATTTCTCTAGAAGCCCACTCTCCTTTGTGATATGCGTGTCGGAGGATCTGCCACAGTATGCCGGACTCACATAGCTAATTAAGCCACCTGGCGTCTCGCACACAAGCACCTTTGCAGTGTGGGTTCCCTTGTAGTGACTGTAGGTAAGTAGTTGAGACTCCAGGTTTTTCGGCTTTTGCAGAGGAATCTCTGTACAGTCGAGCACCATGCGACAGTCCCTGTACTTGCTAAAATACTTGGTCAGGGACTGGAGCACAGCCTCCTTTTCAGGCCAGAAAACGGCGTGCCTGAGCACTGCTGCTAGGACCGGTACCGACGCTCTAAATATGTTGGAAGCTGTCGTCCTATGGACCCCAAACAGTACCCCAAGAAGGGAAAACGTCAGATTGTGGTACAGCTTCATCATTGTTAGCAGTACTGCGTCCTCGTTACTGATACTGAAATCCTTCCTCTGGCTCAATAAGCGAGATTCCCCATACAGGTCGCAGATGTTATAGAATAGCTGAAAACAGGGTATGCAGGTCAGTGATACGAGGGCCGGTTCATTCTTAACCCGTGCTATCCCGAGCACTTGATCTTTCTCAAGCTGTAGTGTGTCCGCTTGACTTCCGACATCTTTCTTCAAGGTGTGAAGTTCAGCCTGAAGACCTGAAACATTAAAAAACAACTCTGGTATCAACTAGAATTAGGCTGACATGACTCACACTGGGCATGCAATGTTTGCTTTCTCCTCACCAACGGGATCTGCAGCATCGGCATCCTGGTTGGGTAGTTCCTGCTCAATCAAGCCCTCACTGGTGCTGGCTTCTTCAGAGTTCAGCCCTGCCAATGTAACTGCTGCTGGCAGGTCGTCCTTGGCTGTTAAATCCAAGTGAAAAAAAAAACAAACAGAAAAACCTAAAATTACAGCTCAGCACTGGAACTGAAATAGACACGACCATGTTCTATCTTCTGATGACTGCAAAAAAAAAAAAAAAAAAAGTAAACAGGTATGCAGGAGCCAAATATTTAAAATCTGGTTATTTATCACACAGCATCCACTGATACCACGAATGTTCCCTACAAACGAGAGCACTCACGGCGAGGCTTGCATGTGTCCACACCTGCCCGCGGCTTCAGGGGCTGTCGCAGCTTCGGGGGCTTGTCCAGTGGCCGTAAAGGCAGATTCTGGGACGGCACGGTTCCTGGGGCGAGTGTCCTTTTTTTCCAGCCTGACGAGAAAAAAAGGAAGAAAATCAATCACGACGGAGCGTGAGCATGCGTCGATCTCGGACGTCTGATCGCCAGCTTTGCTCAGTTCGCTCGCGTGACTTTGGGACGTCGTGGCCCAGGAAAACTAACGAGTGTTAAGCACTTAGATGCACGCATGCGTGATATCACTCTCTGCGAAAACTTTTCGTGTTTGCAGCTTACGTGCAAAATGCAAGAGCGTCGATCTCTGACGGGTACCAACAAAATCCCCCCCTTTTTGTGGAGGTTCACTGAAATAACTGGAGAACACTTACCAAACATCTTCGCTCCAACCGCATACACGAAGTCTTCATCTCTAAAGTGCTTGCTGCACACTGTCGAGCTCTTGGAGTTTAATTTGCCCATTCTCAACTTCACAAGCCACTCCGTGCGCAGCTGCTTCTCCTTGGGGTAGATGTGAAAGCTGATGTTCGGGTCGGTCGCGTAACTGCGGCATTGCGGCACCGAACAGTACTTCACCATTGCTTCCTGAGCACGACGGCTGCCGAAGCCGATCCACGCGTGAACTAATCGGGCTCCAAACACAGAAAAAAACACGAAAATAACGACCGAACGGTTCCCGAATACCCCGACCAAAGCAAGGCAGAATAACCGTCCTTATCACGTGATCCCCGATCCTACGTCACGGTCGAGCGATCGCAGCGCTCCAATCGGTCCCGCTCGGGGCCAATATCATCTCTAATCCCATGTCTTCATTTTTCTCTCCTCCCTCCCTTCATTTTAAGACACTCATTTTTGTTTGTGTTTGTTTGTGTTTTGTCTGTTAACCCCACCGTGTTTCACAAAAGCGTGCGCTATTTTCGTTCTTTTTTTAACAAATGATAGTTTTTATGAAGATATTTATGATTAGTTCATACGTTTCGTGTATTTATATTAGATTCATTCAGTTTTCTAACCCCCATGGTATCTTGATTTCCGGGCAAGGCATGCCCCAAGTTCTTGGATAGAGAAACACCACGCGATGTAATGCATCGTATTCCAACTACTACATTTGAATTCGTCCATTTCAAGTTACTTCAGAAAGATTTTTTCTAGTTTAACTCGTCTGTTTGATTTGTTATACTGTTGTGCTGCAGTTAACGGTGAATTCGTTAAAGGGGCATTCGAGAAAATGCCCGGCGCTGCAGGATCCTTTGTATTTGTGTTTTATTCAATACAGATGGAGAACATATTTTATACATGTAATTACTATTTTTTGTTTTAATATTTTCGTGATGTCTAACAGGCGAAACTCGGGTTTTAGCTCCATTTAATCTGGGCCGTCTGAGTTAGTCAAGATAAAGAAAAAAAAACGTAGGCGGGCTGGTGAACGCCATCCATTCTAAACCTGAAACAAAAGAATAATAAAAAAAAATGGACAAAACAACTAAGTCTTAAACACAACTTGACCCCTCGTTGTTCTCTGTTTTTTTTTTTTTTTTTACTATTCTTTTGTCTCGGGTTAACTATGGATAGTCTGGGTTAAATCACTTCCTTTGCTTGCGCCGAAAACCGGATGGATGAAATGCGTGTCGTCAAATATGTAAATTGTCCGTTGACCCTTTATGTGACCGAGTTAATCTTTTTTAGAAAAGAGTCAAGAACACAGATTCGTATGAAACACGTGACTTACGTAATTCTCCGGGTAAAAAAGGAGTGGGCAAACAATCACGATGTGCACCGAAGTGGTTGCTAACTTTGTGTACTTTTCAGAGTAACGTCATCCATGCGTTCAAGAAATCCTAAACGCTCTTGGTGAGCCTGCGACGCACTAGTCTTAAACATTGAGTTTAAAGCGGGACGTATAGCGGAGAACAACGCAGTGAAAAAAGCGAGCGAGAAAGTATTTTTATAGCGCTTACTTTCTGCGTAGTGTCCGTCGGAGCCAACTGCGATTAATATCTTTCCAATACGCTTCTTGTTCACGGTCCCTTCGACCTGAGAGGTGCAGCTATACACATATCACCTAGGTATCGTTAAGCAGCAGTTACATTGTTCATACGTCACACAAAAGGCGCAATGTTCGCGGCTGGTGTGATAATAGAGCTTAAAGTGTATTTACACGCCTCAAGTGTATTCGATGCATGTCTCCTTCATACATATGTACGCTTCGAGACATATCTGCAGACGGTTTTCGTTTGATCAACGTGACCGCCATACAAGGAAGAAGCACGTTTGAGACAGTGTTTGCAGACTGCCAATTTTGTATGATGTGTATTATCCTTGGGATCGCCGCTGTAAACGGTAATCTAAATAAGTTTATATGCACTCCGTCAGTAGCTGAAAACTTCAGTTCGTCCACGGTCGCGGGTCAAAAATTGTAGTATGGGCTGTGTAACTAAAGGAAAATTACAAAACTCGGTGCAGGTTCTTTTTTTTTTTAGTTTTTAGACGCATATTTTTTTTTAGTTTTCGGTCACTTTAATTACTAATACGTGACTTACGTTTTTTTTTTTTTTTTTTATCTTGTTGTTTCGACTATACTCTGTTCATTTCTAAGCTGACAGTGCGATGGAAGCTACGCGTTCGCCGCACCGATCAACCGGCTCCTTCTCATCGCTTGAGCGCGAAACACATGTACGACGAAAACGTCCGATCCGACGTCCGACCGCGCAATACGACGGTCGGAGGCGAGGGTCATCAACGCTCTCCGATGCTACGAAAACCCTCTCCTCCCAAGATCATTCCGGCAGTCCGCACGTCGGATCGGACGGTTTTGTCGTACATGTGTTTCGCGCTTTAACCACCGTTCTCGGCGCGTGGGTAGAAGCGGTAGGAACGCGATCACGTTGCACAAGATCCACCTATGACCGGTTGTCAGGTTTCACGGCCGAGCTGAAGAAGAAAGAGAGGCGAGGAGAAAATATCACTCGAAGCAGCAGAGCCCAGATTTTGGTGACGACTCAGGGAGGCGCAGCTTCTGGATGGTGCCCTGAAGCCACTGAAAGAAACCCGGCTACGACCCAGGGGAGGCTCGGCGAGCACCGAAGAAGAGCAAAGGAGACCTCGGCATTGACGCGACGCTGGCGTGGGACTCTCGGCAGCAATCCGAGCAGCCCTAAGTGTGCCGATGAACTTACGAATGCCAGATTCGATGGTGACCAAAACCTTTGGCAGAGATTCCCGGCAGTGACACGAAGGCCGTGTTCCAAAATTTACTCGATCTTACTCCAGGGTAAGGGTTTTGTACCCTTGGCGTTTTAAAACCTACCCGCGTCCAGCGTTTGTCAATCTGTGCTGTCACGTGATACGATCCGCCGGAGTTACTCGGATCCATTTGGGTAAGATTTGTAACAAAGCCGAAGAGAGACCACCACTGGGTGTTTCAGGACGTAAAGTGACCTGACCGATCAGGGCTATTAGCGACGCGAGTGATCGAAAGCGTCGCTGTGGTCGGCCCACCACAATTGGCCGAATGCTGACTATGACGTCAGCAAAGGTTGACGGAAATAAGAGGAATGTAAGAACTTCAATTTTGACGGTGTTGGCAGTGTTGCTTTGAAAGCGCTATGATTTCAGGCTTCCAGAATGCTCATTACAAACACCATCGAGCTTGTTGTTCACAAGGTAATGACGTCACGAAAGGTAACCGAACGAGGGCGCCACCGAAACATCTCGCCTAGAGTGCCTTCATACACACGCGCGCTTTTGCTTGAGTGGTGACATCTCAGCCATTTTTCCGCCCAATCGTTTTTTTATGCATTTTGAAATGCGCGCAATCCGGTGTCACTCAGCTCGAGCGCGTAGCTCTGGCTGATGCATAGACGCCATCTTACCGCCCAAGTCACGCACCGAGTGCGCGAGAGCGTCACGCGCTGGCACATTCCGGACAACAATGGATGTCTTCACCCTGAGACAGACAGACATCTAGGCACCCTAATCTCGCCGCCACACAGACCAAGAACAAGATCGTCAAGAGCATACGAATATGTGAGGCTATTGATACCTTTTGTACATTTGATAATAAACATCTTCGACAGAAATCTGTCTGGTTTGGGGAACAATCCGAAAAAAAATGTACAAATGTACAAATGTACATTTTTACATTCGTCTCTTCTTGCTAATCTTGCGTCTTTCTTTGTGTAATATAGCTTCATTCCTTCCATCGTCGTACACTCTTTTTTTTCTTCTTTCCAACGGTTGGCCCCTGAAGTACGAGACTGGTCGAACTACCCCGTACCTTCCACCGCACTGCCAGCTTAGGGTTTAACGGAGTATATGAACTCGCCGTTACGTTTACTTAAAGCACAGGGCATCGCACGAATAAGATCCAAGCCGTTTAAAACGCCCCGAGTTTAAATTATCCCGTCTTACTCACCCTTGTACGTCTTTCTTTCTTTTTATTTTATTTTTGACGCGAACTTAGTTGTTTGGTTTGCGGCGCTTTATGGTAATGGCGTACTTGCCCCCCGTCCGCCTTGGTCTGACCCCATACAGAAAAGGATTGTTAATGCCAGAGCGCTGAAATATTACGCGGTTCTTGGACGGGGACAGGGGGGGGGGGGGGGGGGGGGGTTACATTCATATGCAAAATTCGGGCGATTCTTTCTCCCGTTGGATTTAGCAAAGCACAGAAGCACGGCGTCGCTACTGGATCAACGCGGATTAGGTTCTGAAACTTATGTTCCCCGTTTCGCTGTCAAACGGAGGCCGCTCTTTCCAATGTCTCTGGGTTTCGTTTAAACTTTGGCTTAGCAAATGTCGCCGGTCGTCCGCCGTGCACGCTGCAGTGTGTATTTCTGTCGCCATGTTTTTTTGGACACAGATATATCTTGACGCAATAGCGGTGCGCGAATGTTTTTGTAAATGCCGCGTTTATTTTAGTTGAGATTTAGATTTATTAAAAAGGGGTCAAGAAACGATTTTTCTATTTTCGCTAAATACTCCTTAGAATCACTCCCTAACGTTCATAACTGAATACACTTGCCCTAGTTTTTCTTTCTAGGCAATGGCAGTCGCCAAAAATAATCGGCAAATGTGAGCACCGTTATTCCCTCAACTCGTAACCAGAACAAGCGGTCGCGTGACCTGGTACCTATCCTGTGCCGCCAACGATAATCATAGCCACGCGCTGAGATTAACAAAGTAGAAAACGCGGGTGAGCTCCACGCATTTTGAGGGTTCGGTTATTCTCATCACCGCAGTGGTTAGAGACGAGCCACTACCCTAGCGTTCGCCGAGGCATTGATTGTCGCGAGCCGAAGTCTGGTGCCCAGGCAGTTCTCGTGTCCAATCTATGAGCCGCGCTCAACTGTCGCCAGGAGGGTGGTTTCGATCCCAAAATTACGTCATCGAGCTTGGAAAAGGCAAGACTGTGAAATAAACCGTCCCCTTTTATCCTCGCAATTTCGTCGCTACAAAGAAGTTTCAGAATCTATGGCGGTCTGTGCGAGTATACTTGGGCGAGACTAGGACCAGCGCGCCTCTGCAAAGTCATGAACATTTTAACCCGACATCGTGTCATGACCCTTTTAACCACGATTTCGCATGTTATTTCCGCCCATCACCATAAAGAAAATCAGCAGCGTTCATCTAATAAGGGTGAAATAAAAAAGAGTTCATAATAAAGATTCTGACCTTTTCTTCAGTCTAATTTCAAGGTTGTGTGTCCCCTCCGTTTAGCTTTTACTGCAATCACCGACAAGTTAAGAAACGCAGGGCATGGCGAGCCTCGACCATTAGTAGA